TGGAAGACAGTTTGCTTGTTGCTGCTTTCAGCAGCATTCAAAGTTTACATGATGAAAAAGGGCTCCTCCCTGGATTAAAACTCATTAAATTATTTTTATTTTATTAAGCCTTGTGCCGCTGCCCTTCTGTGCCCGGTGCTCAGGTCAGGTGGCAGCAGATCCATCCCAGATCATCCTGCCTCCACCTCCGTGCCTTGCTTTGCAGAGCTGACCTCTGCTGTGTGAACCTCCAGCTGTTTATCCCCCGACTCTCAGACAGTTTACTCCCCTCCTGCGGGTGTTTACGCTGCAGCCTCTGTCTCCTGCTGGACCGCTCAGCTGTTTGCTCTGGACTCTCCCCACACAAATAATCATCTTGGCTGTTTATCAGGAACGTAAACATTTACCATCATTATCATGAGAATGTATCTTCATCATGTCACAAACAGAATAGTTCTCCTTCCAGGCTGCGGATATTTAAAGCGCTTTGGCTGTATGGAAAGTTTACTCCATGTTGAGACTCTCCTCCCTGGAAACAGAGCCTCTGATTGTGAATCGGATCCAGGAACAGCAGGGGCCGTTTGATCCAGATGCAGGCAGATGGTTTGAAAGCAGACTTTCTCTGAATGACTGAGCAAACAGCCAAGGTTCCGGTTTTATCTCTGCAGCCCAGCATTTGGAATAAAGGAGCGTCCAGCCTGTAGAGCACAAATCGATGCAATATGAGGTTCTGCTGTGTCACGTCTAAATGAGACCCAAACATCCAGAACTAGTCCTAAATGTTACGGTTTGCTCCAGAACTATTTAATTTCACCCATTCAGTAGTAGGAGGTGATGCCTTCATGGCCACATCTCCCCCAAGGGGAATAATTATTTACACAGTCAGATAAATACACATAAAATCAACGTTTTGCCAATTAAAACAATCACATTGCCATCAGAATTATTAAACAGTATCCAATAATTTCATTTTATTTTTTTCCAACATTATCTTTATTGGTTTTTCAACAATTTTTTTAAAATAATAGTCAGGACATAAGTGTGCTCTCACATCGAAGGAAAAGTTAAGGGCAGTTAAATTATCGTCCAGCGTTCCACTTGTCTTTCTGGAGTATTTTAGAGCAGCACCTATGACACACAGAGTATATGAGTACAATACTAATACAAACAAACAAATAACAAAAGGAAAAAAAGCAAAAAAACAAAAAACACAATGCCCCCAACCCCCCTGAGAAGAAACAACAATTACAATAATAACGGTTGTTAGGTCTATTCAGTGATGATTATAAAGTTAATGTATGTGCATACGGAACATTGGAGAAATTAGATGCTTCTCTCTGTTTACTGCAAACTGTCAGGAAACGGTGGTAGAAAATTGCTGATGTTTGTGCAAGGCTTATCATAGTTATCAGGAGACCACTCTATTCTGAGCATTTTGTCCTATGACCTGATCAATTGCCTTGTCAGAAGAACACTCTATTCTGTAACCCACCCCATGTGTTATGATCTGCTAATAAAAAGGCTTCCACCAGAGAGTAGACGTAGCTGAACGTAGCTCTCTCCTTCTGCAGAAGCCGTTAAAAATCCCCCTTCTGTGTGGACTCAGTTTCTCTTTTATGAACCTACATTTTTTAACCTAACAACGGTTTCTCTATTTACCAGAAATTAGCCCATATTATTTTAGTATTGTACGTGGTTCAGAAAATACAAACTCGAATATATAATCCAAAGTATACAAATGATAATTATCTTAGGACACTGCAGGAGACCCGACAGCCGTCACATCCATGTTTTCTATATATTCCATAAAAGGACTCCAAATGTTTTGAAAAAATTAAAGTTTCCCTTTTAAATGAAAGTAATCTTTTCCATTGGTAATGTTGTGGATATTTCCTTAATCAATTTAATATATTTTGGTTTACTGGTACTCTTCCATGAGAGTGCTATGACTCTTTTTGCCAGTAGTAGACATAAATCCGAGGCAGTAGTAATCTTACTGGACTTATGATGTCTGTCAGGATATAAACCTAGAATGAACAATTTGTACCAGTATAGTCTCTAGAGCTTGTTTAATCTCCCTCCAGAATAGTTGAACTTTCTTGCATTTCCAGATGCAATGGAGGAATGTTCCCATAATTTCATATTTAAAGTACTTTCAGAAGTTTGAACTTTTCCTTTAAAAACGTTTAATTTCTCTATATTACATTTTTCTCAACTTTCAATGTACAGATTGTGTTTTATCTCCATTTTCCATTAACAATTTCTTTAAAGAAAGTAACTGCATATGATTGGCTGAACATTAGCGGTCTGATCCCAATCAGAACCTAATCTGGGTCTTTGTGGGCCATAGATGTTCTTGCTTTCCCTCCTGGATCACGTGTTGTTTTCTGTGAACAGCTGCAGGTCGGAGGGAAGAAGACCAACATCCTCCTGCAGCAGCTGCAGCCGGACACGCCGTACTCCGTCACCGTGGCCGCCGTCTATCCCTCAGGCGTCAGCAGGGATATCTCTGGAGAGGGAAAAACCAGTAAGCATCTGCAGAAACCAGGACAGCTTCTGCTGTCAGGAATGTCCAGAAAGGGTCCAACTGGACCAAAGCTAATCGTGAAAACCTCACAAAGGATTCAATCTGTCAACTGAAAAAAAAAAAAACTTCTGATATTTCCATTTTGAGGAATGTTTAGTGGTTTGGGGTTTCAGTGGGAACGAGCGTAGAAATGTGTCGGCTGAGGATCTTGGGAGAATGTGACGTCTCTGTTCCTTCCTGTGCAGAACCTCTGGGTGGTGTGAGGAACCTCCAGGTGCTGAACCCGACCATGACTACCCTGAACGTGCGCTGGGAGCCGGCTGAGGGCAGAGTCACGGAGTACAAAGTGATTTATTCTCCGGCAGCTGGAGGAGCAGAGATGATGGTAGGACTGGTAGGAACCCCGTCTGCTTCCTGTCCTGCTGCAAAGTCGGACCTGAATCCTGATCAGTCCTCTGGAGTTCAGAAGGCTGGAAACACTTTTATAAGGGAATAAGCATTCTGGTGGCCATTGAAGGGGTTCTGACCGGTTAAATAGCTCCTCCAGGTCCAGTCTGAAAGGAATATTTATAGTGAGTATTTCATCACATCAGAACCATCGTCACAATCTAAGCTGAACATTCTGTAGGAAAAACCTTGAAATGGGATCATAATGATAATTTGGTCAGGGAAATTACAGCATTCTGTAACTCCAGGGGTCCTTAAAATCCTTACTAATTTCGAGACCTTGAATGTTTTTGAAAACAGCAAGAAAAAGGCATCCGTCCTTAAAGCTCCTGGAATTCCAATCCTGCTGCATCTGATAAGAATTTCCGGATTCATTTTAGTCCAATTGGCCATTTAATTTGATTACTACTGTCCATGATACTTTAAGGAAGTAAATGCTGTGACTCGTGGTCCTTGAATTTAAGGAAATTGGTTGAGGAAAAGTCCTTGAAAGTGCTTGAATATGTTGTTGATCAAGGTGACTGGTGGTTCTGATGGACAGGAAGGCGAACCAAACAGAACTTGGTTTGCCTTTTATTTTCCAAAATGCCAACATGGTTTCAAGGGGAATTAAAAGGGGGTTTGACTTTTATTGTGAAAATCTGACCTAGAACATTCAATACCCCATCTCATCGCTTCTCTGCTTCCTTTTGTGTTGTGTCCCAGTTAGTAAAATCATTATGGTCTGAAAGGTTCCAAATCTTCCCAGGGCCCAAACAGAGCCATGTGGGACGCTGATCAGAAGTGTTTTAGTCCATAACCAGACCAAATTTTACCCATTAGGCTAACAGTGACGGCCATGATTTCACCTGAGTCAGCTGATTGGTACGATGTTTTGTCGAAAACCAGGAGACGGTGTCGGCAGGGACGACCACGACCATCCTGCGAGGCCTGCAGCCCGACACTCTCTACACTGTGTCGCTGGTTCCAGTTTATGCTGATGGCGACGGAAGGAAGATGTCTGAAAACGGAAAAACAAGTAAGACTGAAATTACCTATGTAGTCCAAATGACCTGCCTATGAGGTCAAAATTAGCCGCCCACAAGGTCCTAATGACCAGTCTATGACTGCCTAATGACCCTGCCTACAGGGTCCAAATGACCCAACTACGAGGTATAAAAGACCTGTCTATGAGGTCCTAATGTACCGTCTATGAGGTCCCAATGACCCGTCTATGAAGTCCTAATGACCCTTCTATGAGGTCCCAATGACCCGTCTATGAAGTCCTAATGACCCTTCTATGAGGT